TAACATTTTAATAATATTTTGGCAAATTGAACCAAATGAATGAAATGACTCAAAAAAAAAAAAAAGTGTAAAATGACTGTTGAATCAAACAGGCCATCAGTATATCAATTCCTTTACAGTTATCAAAAAAATTATTTTGTGACTTCATTATAGTTTTGTAACTATTAAATGGTTTTAAATAAAAAATTTAACAAAATGCATCCGTGTAAAAACCTATGACTAGTGGAAAAACAGATTTCTGTAATTGTGTTCTCAGGTCTCCACTTTTGCCATGGCTTCTCTTGGTTTTAATAAATTTACCACTCAGGTTTTTCCAAACCTTTTAACAAAAACTTTCTCCTTTCCCACAACTGTTGCAATTTCTAGCCAAGAATTATTGATCATGATTATCTCTCTGATTATGGGTTTTAAGATATGTGTACAGTTGTACTGTTTCAGTTAAAATCTCTTCAAAGTGGTTCATATTCAACTCAAATCAGTTGAGGCACCGCGCACACTATTCGCTCGAGTCTCAAAAAGTGCCCTACACACCGCCAGCCGAAATCATGCTGCGCGCACCCAAAGCAAACCTCGGCAAACTCCGCAATGATGTCAGATTCGCTGCACGCACTCAAGCGAACAAGCAGACGCATCGAGTATAAACCAGGCTTCAGAGAAGGAGCAGCTCCAACTATAATAGCAAAAGCTGTGTACTGTGAGCCACAACCTGTTAGTGTTTTTATTTGTTAAATTTGATCTGTTACATGCACAGTTTCTAGCATTAACTGTATGTTGTAGTGAGGATTAAAGCAAAGGGAAATGCTGTTTGGCACTGCTAACAATTTAGCTACAAATTCTTATTTATCCTTCAAACCGCTGTAAACAGCCACAATCTTCAACAGCGCTGCATTGCCTCTCTATGCGGAAACTTTTCTGCATTCTACATCCCAAATAACAAACTCACAAAAGATATATGCACGCTTCATTTTACTTACACATGCTTATAACCCGAATATATGTGAAAGACACTTTTCAGATGTTACTTTAGTGAGCAGGCATGAGGTTCAACTGTGTGCATTTCATTCTCTGTCTGATTCAGACACAAACTGATATGGCCAACAGATACAGTAGCCATGTTTCCATCCACCTATTTTTATGCGCATTTTGCATTTAACTAAAGAGCATAACTGAGTAGGATAAACTTTTTATCCGATAAGAAAAGATTTGCATAAGCTACGATGGAAACACTTTTACCGCACAAATTTCAGTATGCGCATTAAAAAAGGTCATGTGATTTTGTGATAAGAGATCATGTGATGATGGAAATATGTGTAAATGGACAAACCAGCAGGCAGAGCACACTGTAAAATATCTGATATTTTGTTTTGGTCATTCTAAAAGACCTTACCGTTTAAGTATTAGTGTTATTATATCATTAATAACCAAAATCAATAGCGTCTGACACCTTTAAACGCCACCGCATGTTCACTGCATGTCAGGATTGCCTTCTGAATCGCTGGATGGAAACGCTGCTTAATTCGCATGTTTTTTTTCAAGATAAAAAGCAATCAAAACTATGTGTGTGTGTGTGTGTGTGTGTGTGTGTGTGTGCGCGTGCGTGTGCATGTGTGTGTGTGTGTGTGTGTGTGTGTGTATTATTGTATTATTGTAGTATTATATAAATATAATGTACATTTATATATATATATATATATAAATAAATATTTTTTGTCCTTTTTTTTTCAAGAAAAGTAATAAGAGCCTAGAGGTATTATAGACTTTGCAAATTCAGTTTCCAGACATTTTTAGGTAGAGACATCTATTGTGTGCATTCTTGGCAGTTTTTTCATGTCTTTTTTTTAGTATTGTCATTATCGGTATCGGAATGATATCGTATCGACCAAAGTTAAGAAATATATTGTGATAAAAATTTTTGCCATATCGTCAAGCTGTAAGATGAAAATAATTAAAATGATTAAAATGTTACAAAATTATTTTATACATAAATATATAAAAATCACTACCTTCATGTCAGGGGGCTTTTTCAGTTTATTCATGACAATTTGCATTTGTATAATGTTGTTGTTGTTGTGGTTATTATTATTATTTTTTATTAGTATTATTTATTATATGCATATTTATATTTGTTTTAATAAACACAAGTGTAGATTTTTCCACCTGTTGGGTTTTGGCAGAATGTGTGTTTGGATATAACCAAACACAACTGACTCTTAAAGGGAATGAGAGATGAGACTCTGATTGGTTTAGTGCATGTTATACCCTAAACACACCCATAACTCATTCAGAGAACAAGCACAACCCTGTTAGACCATGCGCCATGGTGCAAAGTATTATTTTTTCATCCGTAAATGGCAAAAGGGGATTTGGACATGCCCTTAATGCTTTTGCACCATGCATTTTAGACTTTGTGCCTAGACAGTTGAAAAAGAGCCCTATGACTTGCATAATGTTGTGATCTTAATCTCTTTTGTAGAATCACCCTGAATTGGTTGGTGAATTATGGACATGTCCATTCAATGCACGCCACCTGATGAAGAAAAATGAGCTGTCCCATCACATCTCAACATGTGTAGATCGATGCTCTGTTACTGAAACCTATGGTAAGCCCTGTTTAACCATGCATAATAGTACTACTGCAGACACACACCAAGCAAAATCAACTAGACTCTGTGTGCAACCTGACTTGTACTTTAAACTGATCTCAACCTCTTTTGCAATGTTCAAAGTGGCTAAGGACAAGACTGATAGCAAGTTTCAAATCCCAGTGAGCACCTGGACCGCCCCTGTGTGTGATGAAGACTGGGATGAAGGTAAGTTCCCTCAAGGAAATCATTTGTGGTCACATTTTCAATGCTAATGAGTAGCTAAGACCAAGCTGTATCTGCTTAAGTCCACTCTCACATTTTAAAATAACAGATTTCAGACTGACAACAAAATCTGACTTTAACTGTCCTGTAAATGTTGTTAAACGTTGTTTCTTATACGCAAATGCCATTTTAAAAACAGGCATGTCACATCAATGCATGTGTGCAGTCTTATATTTGTCAGTATAATGACTGCTTCTATAGACCGCATACATTGATGACATGACAGCTGGTAATTGGCTTATTTATTTTGACAGTGGCCATAATGCACCTTTCACTTTCTGTCCATTTTAAGGAATAGGAATACACAATCTTTGTACTTATAAAGTCTTGAATGTATAAAGATCCCAGTAAACAACTGGAAGCTACAAGACACTGATGTGCTAAATAGAAACTATACAAAAAGATTTCTTAAACTTGCGATGTTGCTTACAGTTCTGCACTAAATCTATGCCATTTATAAATGCACTGAAAGATTAGTTTGTATGATGTAAATGCAAACTTTAACATCTGATCATCTTACAGAAATGGACAAGCGTGCAACAGCAGCGCCCCCTTTTGTCTGGGATGTGTCCAAATCGCTTCCTAAGGACAGGTCAGTGTAGAGCAGGGATGTCCAGTCCTGTTTTTGATGGGCCAATGTGCTGCAGGCTTTAGTTCCATCTAGCTCCAACATTTCTGTGCAGAGATATGTAGTGAGTCTGTTTGAGTTGTCCCCTATACTTTCATTTATAAACCCTACACACTGCTAGTAAAGTGAGGACATTAGGCCAGTTAGTGCACAGAAGGACTGCTGCCTTTACATTGATTTTTTCCTTGCTGTTTCATTTATCAAACTTGGCAAGCTGGCAGCTCCAGAGGTAATGAAACTTGGCCCGTGCTCTTTCTATTTAACTGTTTAATTATTTATTAGAGGGAACTGCTGGATTTTAATCATGATCCAAGATGTGGCATACAAGTAACATAAGCAGTTTTTAATCAAAATTAGACTGTATTCTTTCTAAATTTGAAGCAAAAACAGAAAGATTTGACTTTGCTGTAGTTTTTCAGGAAACATTGGACTACAAAAAAACATCTAAAGGAATCTGTAGTTAAGCTGAGTGAGATGCACATTCACTGCTAGCAGGTGGCACTTACGAACCACAATGATATAACTTACAGTAGTTGCACTAGGGGTGCAACAGTACATATTTCTTGCGGTTTGGTTTTAGGGTCACTGCTTCAGTAAATTTTGGTGTATATAGTAAAAAAACAAACAAACAAAAAAAACAGGACATTGTCATGTAAAAATGAAACTCTACAAGCAATAAAACAAATGAATACAATATAGCAAAGATACTATTAAAATTAAACGGAGCTTTTCTGGTTTCCTAATTTCGGAACTACAGATGGCTGTGCATTCAAATAGTGCCCTTTTTAAGGTATTGGGTAGATTTCAGACATTGATTGGCTGGTTCATGTGGGTTTAACGAAAGTTAAAGGTTCAGCAGGACAGTGGCCCTCCAGGAACAGATCTGTACATTCCTGCTTTTTAGGCTAGTTTCGAATGTAATTGGCAGTTGATATTAATTTAAACAGATTGGTTGAATCCTACAATCAAACTACAGAAGCATTAACACATACTTCTATGTATTAGGGAGAACCCCAGTGTTTCCAGCAGTGTGATTACTGGCCTCAGAGCACCAAGAGTTCTTCCCTGGACAAGCGGCTGTACAGATTTTTCAGCTTTTTAATATAGCCATTATGCTTAAAACTTACTTTGCAGTTACAACTGCTTGTATTCTAGCTTTTTATTGAATATGTCTCTAGTGTTAGTGACAAATTCGTTTTCTAATCTTCAGTTCAGTTTTCCTAAGGCGGAGCAGTAAAGGTGGTTTAGGTTCTGTTTACACCACACAAAAGAAAAGCTTACGACCAGGATTTGCATTTTCAAGACTGTATTTGATGTGTTTTGTGCTGTCACAGTTGCTTTGTGTCTGCTGTTCTGTTTCTGTGGTGTCTTAGAGACTGTATATATATATATACAATATTATGTATATTTTTTTGGATAAAGGCTTTACATAGAGCAGATCCTGTTGTAAAAACAGGTCAAATTTAGTTTGTAAACGCTAACATCTTATGATTCAAAACTCTTACCAAGTTTGTAGTTTGTGCCAACATCACACTGGCATGTTTTCTTCAATAAAGAAAGAGTCTCCTCTTTAATTTGCTCATGATCCAAAGTAACAATTTGTCTGTCCTCATCCTTCAAGAACATGTCAGATGATCTGTAATGTAGAGCGAGATAAAAATAAAGTAAAGAAGTGAAGACAGAACACAAACCGCTGGATGTATTAATGCTAAAGGACACAAGCACTTACTCACAAAAAGAACCGGTGGCTTTGACTAGTCTTGTTTTGACAAGTCCAGTATCCCCAGTTTTCTCTGATTGCCCCATAAACCATTCAAAACAGGCCACCAGCAGGCCCTGGATGATGATGCGTTCACCAGTCTGGAAGCTCAGTTCATCAGGCCCATCAGCGTCATAGTCCTCTATGGTCTCACACACTCCTACCGCTGTAAAAGGTTGTTACATTCAGTGTATGTTGATAGATATACACATATTTCATATACATTTTGGAATAGTGCATAAAAAGTGCTTATGTAAAAGTCAAGATGGGCATACAGTATATTTTGATAAAGTGCATAAAAACATGCACACAACCGAGTAGGATAAACTTTTCACTTCCAGCAGGATAACACACCATGTCATAAAGTGCCATTCATCTCAGACTGGTTTCTTGAACATGACAATGAGTTCACTGTACTCTAATGACCTCCACAGTCACCAGATCTCAATCCAATAGAGCACCTTTGGGATGTGGTGGAACGGGAGATTGACATCATGGATGTGCAGCAACTGCGTGATGCTATCATGTCAATATGGACTAAAATCTCTGAGGAATATTTCCAGTATCTTGTTGAATCTATGCCACGAAGGATTAAGGCAGTTCTGTAGACAAAAGGGGGTCCAACCCAGTAATAGTAAATGTACCTAATAAAGTGGCCAGTGTGTAATTGATAGTAATAAAAACTTTTTACTATTCAGTAAGAGAAAATGTGCATAAAGTACGATGGAAACACATTTACCGAATAGCATGTGCCTAAAAAAAACTCCACGGCCAATTTAGTTTATTTGGATTGTGGGGGAAAATGGAACACCTGGAGGAAACCCACACAAACACAGGGAGAACATGCAAACTCAACACAAAAATGCCAACTGATCCAGCTGGGACTCAAACCAGCAAACTTCTTACTGTGAGGCGACAGTGCTAAACACTGAGCCAACGTGCCACCCTTTAACAGATCATGTAATAACAAATTGGTCATGATGGGTGTGCATTTATGGATATACCATGGACCAACCCTATTGTAAAATATCTGAAATGTTGCTTTGATCATTCTAAAAACCCTCAGCCAAAGTCCATCATTCCATTATTTTGTTATTATCTCACAGATCTTGTCTTGAGCAGCTGTGCCTCCAAAGAATGGTCTTGTTTCCAAAAGCCACCCCATGTTTATTGTATTTTGTCTTGTTTTCTGAGGCACAAATGGTTTGATAAAAGGAAAAAAGGTTCACGGTGGTCAACCCCATTTACCTTTGTGATATTTGTTGGCAGTTTATCAGGAAGAGACGATTTTTGTTCTCTTTGTCTAATTGGATGTAAACACTGCTTCATTAGCTATTTTTTTTTATTTGCAATTCAATGTCATTCACTTCTTTGGAAGAAAGAGCCACACTCCTATGTAATAAAACTACACACATTCGTATTAAAATAAATTAACCTAACCTAACATTTTATTTTGGCCAAAGATAAAAGTTCTCTTATTAATTATTTAACCCCATGCCTTTCCAATTCTCTGAGACCTTCATTTATCTTCAGAACACAAGTTAAGATGATATGGCCACAGCCATATCACCCTGCAGCCCAAGACTGGTCACTCACTGAAGTTAAGCAGGGCTGATCCTGGTCAACCTGTTGTTTGTGCTAGTCCTAATTCCCCAGTATAGTGAAGGGGACACCGTACTGTCAGTGAGTGCCGTCTTTTGGATAAGATGTTAAACCGAGGTCCTGACCCTCTCTGGTCATTAAAAGAGTCCCATGGCACTTCTCATAAATAGTAGGGGTTTAACCCCAGTGTCCTGGCCAAAGTTTTCATAAGTTCATTACCCCTTACCCATGATGGCCTCCCAATCACCCCATCCACAGAATTGGCTCTATCACTGTCTTTCCACTCCATCTATAGCTGGTGTGTGGTGAGTGCACTGGCATCGTTATCCTGTGGCTGCCGTCGCATCATCAAGTGGATGCTGCACAGTGGTGGTGGTGCAGAGCGACTGAAGCAACATTTTTGTATAGTTGCCCAGCAATATTGCTCAAAAAGTTGCCCTGTGTATCATTATCATACGACAATTTAAAATGCAGATTTAAACTTTTCATCATGGCTTCATGGTGGCTCAGTTGGTAGCACGATTACCTCACAGCAAGAAGGTCGCTGACTCGAGTCCCGGCTGTGTGGAGTTTGCATATTCTTCCTGTGTTGGTGTTGGTTTCCTCCAGGTGCTCCGGTTTCCTCCACAGTCCAAAAACATGTGGTAAAGGGGAATTGGGTAAGCTAAATCGACCGTTGTGTATGTGTGTGAATGAGTGTCTATGGATGTTTCCCAGTGATGGGTTGCAGCTGGAAGGGCATCCGCTGCATAGAACATATGCTGGAAAAGTTGGCCATTCATTCTACTGTGGCGACCCCTGGTTAATAAAAAGGGACTAAGCTGAAAAGAAAATGAATGAATGAACTTTTTTCAATGCAGGAAGTAATTGGTCATTTTCAATTGTAAACATATTTCATAATGATAGTTTTGCTGTTTCAGATTAAATAAATAGTTTTGTATAGTGAACATAATTGTAGTGAGCATAACAATAATAATTATTTCAAAAGCATTTTAAAATCCTATTGCCCTCAAACATTTAAACGTGTGTGTGTGTGTGTGTGTGTGTTTATAGAAAGAATGAAAAATAAAGAAAAGAATCTCACCAATCTGGAATGGGAGGTCAATAGTGTCCTTTCCTCCACCCACTAACACAGTCTCTGGGCAGGACTTTAAAAACCACCTTGAAAAAAAAAAGTCCATTGTTCTCAGTTCTGGCTGCTCTGTTTGATTTAACAATAAGTTTATTTGAAATTTAGAAATTAACAGCACATACTCATGAAAGGGGGTGACTGGCTCCAGAGCTGGCTTTGCTTTGGTTCCTCTAGACCCCTCTGCTAGTGACAGGACAGTCCAGCCTGACCCTAAAAAGGGAGGCTCAAACAGAGCGATGTCCCCCTTCTCTAGATAAAGGTCCTTTCCTGATGTTGAGCTGTCAAACATCTGATTGGCTGTGCAGCATCCAAAGAAAGACCCTAAAAGTAAACAGTGTTGCTTTCATTAAAATAGCTGTAATATACATGAAACACTGTTTGTGATTCATTTTAATGTTTGGGGTTTGCACTTTTTTTTTACCTTCTTGCATTAGAAAACCTTTGTACATTAAATTTAGTGTCTCCTCTTTAATTGAGATCTCAATTCCTGAATGGTGGTCAAGGGAGGTTAACCAAAACTCCTGGTCCATGAGGAGATTTTCCATACACTGACCCAAGAAGCCTGATGAAAATTACATGATCGGTAAGTCATAGTAGGTTGTTGGGTTGAATCAATTTGTTTGCAAAAGAGTCAAATAAAAATAACTGCAAACTGTAATAATACTAATATACAATACATACAATAATATCCAATAAAATTCAATAGTATCTTATCATACAAGCTGAGATTGCATCACTCAGCGATGCAATATCAGACACAATGCACTCGATGGAGTGTGTAACGTCACGGTGACGGGTAGGGTTATGGGTGGGGCTAGTTGAGCCCATTAAAAAGCATTGGATGCAGCTCAGATTGCACTGCACCGAGTCTGCAGCCAGACCCCTCTCATAAAATTGGTAAATATATGCTTTGTGTTTTTGTTTACACTCACAGGCCACTTTATTAGGTACACCTATCTGACTGCTCGTTAACACAAATTTCTTTTTAGCCAATCACATGGCAGCAACTCGAGACTTAAGACGATCTGCTGCAGTTCAAACTGAGCAAAGGAATGTGTAAGAAAGGTGATTTAAGTGACTTTGAACGTGGCATGGTTGTTGTTGGTGCCAGACAGGCTGGTGTATTTCAGAAACTGCTTATCTACTAGGATTTCCACGCACAACCATCTCTAGGGTTTAAAGAGAATGGCCTAAAAAAGAGAAAAAATCCAGTGAGCAACAGTTCTGTGGGCGCAAATGCCTTGTTGATGGCAGAGGGCAGAGGAGAATGGCCAGACTGGTTCCCGCTGATAGAAAGGCAAGAGTAACTCAAATAACCACTTGTTACAACCGAGGTCTGCAGAAGAACATCTCTGAATACACAACACGTTTAACCTTGAGGCGGATGGGCTATAGCAGCAGAAGACTACACTGGGTCATCTGATGGCTTCTTCCAGCAGGATAACACGCCATGTCATAAAGTGCATCTCAGACTGGTTTGAGTTCACTGTACTCAAATGGCCTCCACAGTCACCAGAGCTCAATCCAATAGAGCACCTTTGGGATGTGGTGGAATGGAAGATTGACATCATGGATGTGCAGCAACTGCATGATGCTATCATGTCAATATGGACTAAAATCTCAGAGGAATATTTCCAGTACCTTGTTGAATCTATGCCACGAAGGATTAAGGCAGTTCTGTAGACAAAAGTGGGTTCAAGCCAGTAATAGTAAATGTACCTAATAAAGTGGCCAGTGTGTAATTAATAGTAATAAATAAGTCATCTAGCATTTTTGAATTAATTTGTTTGCTTTAAGTTACATAAAAATAAAACGTGAAAAAATAAACAGCAAAATAATAATATACGATAGCATACAATAAAATGGGCAATATCTGTTTATTTATTTTGGTTTGTAATGAATGATACAATTTTGAACAAAACATAATTACCAGTTGTATTGCTTATTACATTTTGTTGTTTTTGTTTTATTTTAAATTATAATTAATATCATTGGACTTTATCTATGAAAAGCTTTGCTGCACAATTTGTGAAAAAAACTAAGAAAAAAAAAAGATGTTTCAACAGTATTTTCAACACTTTCGGTCCGTTTAATTTACCATGATAATAATAAAAGGCAAACATGCATTACAGATTATTTTAATTCTTTCTAACCCTAAATGTGATTTAATAGGGGTGTGTTGTAAAACAAATATTGAAGTTTTCTACATTTGATAATTTAAGAGTGTTTTCCACATTGATCATTAGAAATGTTTCTTGAGTATCAGAATATTACACTGAAAAAAAAAGATTTGTTGGATTTACAATTTTTTTAAGTGGTTGCAAGCAATTTATATGGACTGAATGTAAACAAACAAATTCCTTGAACATTACTAAAACTTTGTTCAAACTCAGCCCATATACACTGCTACCTTCAATTAGTAATGAATCATTTTTTTCAGTGTAGAATGATTTCCTTTCTGAAAAAGATGACAACACAAATAAATTATGATTTAAAATGTATTGCATTTTAAAAGGACTGCCTTTTTTTGTTTTAATAATATTTCTCAACAATGATCAAATAAATACAGCTTATTTAACAAGGACATTGTACAAAAAATAGACCTAAAATGTGTCTGTGAAAAAAAATTATATATATATATATATATATATATATATATATATATATATATGTATATGTATGTATGTATGTGTGTGTGTATGTTTTGTTAATTTTTTTGTTATTGCATTGTTAATGAACATACTGTACAGTGTTCGGCATATATAAGTACACCCCTCACAAATTTATCTTTTTAAATCATATTTCTAAAAAGAAGCTAAAATCTGGAGCTTATCTAACAAAATACCTAATAATACCGGTCCAAAAACTTGTACGCCCAAATTTATATTTTATAGAAAAATATTAAATACAAATTACAAAAAGGAAAAATCAAGAAAAGCAAAACAAATGGAAAAATTTAGATGAAACATTGTAGGTTGTACATATTTTTTCAATATTTTGCTTGAATTTAATTGTATTATTTTTCTATTTCTATGTGTTTGGTAACTAAAATATTATTGTAATAAATATATGTTTAAAAAATCTGTTTTGTTTAAATGCAGCAAAATACATTTCTCACTAAGAAATGGATACACATATTTATTTTCAAAATGGGCTGTGCTCAATTATGCTGAGCCGCACTGTACATAAACGTATTATCTGGCACACTAAAATAAGTACAGACCCATTCTGTAGTAGGTGCTGAACCTCCATATATCATCAATGGTTTTAAAAGTGATAAATATAGTCCTTTCCTCACTGTAAATGGATACAAAATGAGCAGACAGTTCCTGCAAAACATGGAAACCAACATGTTGGATTTTGAGATTATTTCTACATGTATAGATGTATACATTATTGTATTCGAAATGAGTATAACCATACAGATATCAAGGTGACAACCCCTGAGAGGTCAGCTTCCAGCACACAGAGCTTCCTGCAGAGCACTTCCTGTGTGTTCTCATCGGCAGGAAGTCGATCCGGCCCCTCCACCATAGTCAGCTGCATAGCCAGCACTACAACAGGAAACAGCGTATACATTTAACATGGTATCTAACAAAACATGAAGAGCTCCAAAAACCTTTAAATGCCGTCTGAGATGTTTTTCTATGAGCATTTTAATCAGGCTCCTGAGTGTAGGTTCAGTAAAATCACTTTTAAGGCAAAGAATAGTTCCCTTTCATGGTCTTTGAAGTGAAATACCTCAACATAAACATACTGTAGGTGCCTGAGAAAAATGTTCATTTTCAATGGACACTTAAAGATTTTTGCATCTGAACTCTTCACATATCCTTTAAAGAAACTCTTTTATTGAGAAATATGTTTTATTTAGATTTTATAACTAGTCTCTTATATCTAGATCAAAACATCTCATAATAATTTGAATTGTACAGGGGTGTGTTTCCAAAAACCATCGTTAGCGAACTAAGTTTGCAAGTTGCGTCCTAAAAATTGTTTGTTGATTTGGTGTTTCCCAGATCCATCGTTCCAACGATCATTCACAAACTGCATCGTAAACTTGCATGTTTCCAATTACACCTCTTGAGCTGTAGTTAGAAGCATAGTCCTGGCTGTGTTCTATTGCCAGTTATTCCCTCTATGCCTCCCTCTACAAACTTGGAATGATTAAAAAAAAAGAAAAAAAAAACGTCATTAGAACGTTAAAAGTCATCTCTTAATTTGCATTCAAATTATTATTACAGTTCAGTTTCAGCGATCTTCATATTGACAATTGCGTTTCCTTCATAGTGCACTTTAAAAATGTTTGACGTTTTGAACACAACCGTGGCTCATGACGAAAGCTACAGGTCACCTATTATTTAAAAGCAGAATATGTTACGTCTCCAAAGATTGTGAAATCATAAATTTATAGCATACGTTAATGCTTTTAATTTATAGTAGATTATTTATTAAGAAATGTATCTTTACTGTATGACATGCCTGTTGGTTAGAACATTTCTGTAGTGGGTTGAATGTTTCAAATTTTAGAAGTACATTTACAATAATTAAAGTCAAATAAAAAAACAATATCCTACCTAATAATATTAGTAATATATTATATATAGATAATTATTATTATCATTATTATTATTAAGTAGGATCTTTTTCATTTCTTAATAAATAGCCTACTGTTAATTAGGCCTACAACTATTAACTATTTATTTATGAGATTAGAATACATGGTAGCTAAGTTATTTTATATGGAATATTTTCAATAATATTTGTAAAGGAAACATGTTGGTCCTATATGTGTTGTTTATATATTTCAGTTAATATGGAAAACGAGTGCATGTTTTTACCAAAACTAACATTGGATTTTATTTTAAATGTGTGTGCGTGTAAAACTTTTTGCACAAACAATTATGTTTTTTTTCTGTAAAGAAGTAGTTACTCCACCCCTTTTAGAGTATCTTTATGGGCGCTTTACGTTATAACTAACGTGGTTCAAACGATGGATCTGTGACAGTGAAAAATGCGTCACTAAATCGTTCTTTTCCTAAACAATGCATCGTGTGATAGTTCAGCCGCGAGTTACATCGTTGTTTTGGGAAACACACCCCTGATCAGATTGTGATATTATAATGTATTCTTATGTAGCCTGTGCACTGATATGATATTAGACAATTATTAAACAAACAAACAAACAAACACAGAAATTTTTTTATATAATGCATCAATTCGTCAGCAGCCTCCATATAAAAAACATCCTTGTCAGTTCTAGTGAATTTGTAAAGGAAAAGGATTTAGCAGATGATATATGAATGCAAGTTAGTTAATGCGAGGGGACATCATAAACTAATCAAACCTTTATACTGTCGTAAATTCCAGGTCTAGCACTACTGCACTCAAAACATTCATTTTCAGGGCAATATTCAGGCTCAATCAACAGTTGGGAACTGATTTTTGCTATAATCATGTGATGTTTCACTGCCGTGTTTAACTGAGAGGGTTAATAAGTGACACTCAATGTGCTTTGTAAAGTCCAAGGTATGATCTCTACAAGTTACTCTTTTTTTGAGCATCACAAGAGTAGGTCAGAGTTCAATTATAGTGGTAGGATCATGTTATGCGGAGGGAGAAGTAGTCCAGAGTTGACTTTACTTATGATGGCAAGTTTAATTTATTTGGGTTCAACGAGAAACAAGTTTACAAGTTTGTGATCAAACTGGGTAACACTTTACAATAAGGTTCAGTAGTTAATGCATTTACTAACATGAACTAATCATGAACAACACATGTACAGCATTTATTAATCATAATTGAACATTTACTAATGCAATATTTACATCCAAGTCCATGGTTGTTACCATTAGTTAATGCACCATGAGTTAACATGAACTAACAATGAACAATTGTATTTTCATTAACTAATGGTAACTAACATAAACGAATACAGTAGTAAATGTATTGTTCTTTGATGTTGTTTGACTTATTATATCCTGTAAGAGACTAGTGATGTCTTGTGAAAGACTAGTGATGTCACATGAGAGATTAGAAAGAATAATGATGTCCTGTGAGAGACTAGTGATCTCATGTGAGAGACTTAAAAGACTAGTGATGTCCTGTGAGACTAGTTATGTCTTGTTAAAGACTTGTTAAAGACTAATGATGTCATGTGAAAGGCTAGTGATGTCACGTGAGAGAGAGAGAGAGATAAGTTATATCCCACAAGAGACTAGTAATGTGATGTGAGGGACTAGTGGTGTCCTGTGAGATTACTGATGTTACATGAGAAACTAGAGTAATGATGTCTTCTGAGAGACTAAAAAGACTAGTGATGTCCTATGAGGGACAGTACATGCCAATGCTCCCACTTATCTGAGGAGTCTACCGTATTTCAGACCCATCTCCCGCCGCCCTCCTGTTTTGTTATTTCTCTTGGTGTCTTTACATTTTATCCTACCCATCAGAATATGCTACTAACACTGTATTTGAATGGTTGGGTTGAGGTTAGGAATTAGTTAGGTTAGGGTGATAATACAGCTTCATTTCACACTACTCCACATTAACATTTACACTGGTAGCAAAATCTGATGGGTAGCAGATTGCATCATCAAAATGTGCTTCCTACTTTTGAATGGGAGATAGGACAATCTGACAAGATAGGATAGGAAATTGACAGAACACTGGAAAACACCCTTATTTTCACCCCACCCCTAGCTTTTAGCTTTTTGGTACAGTCTGTAACACCCCAGGTTCGCCAACTTTGGTATAGTATCTGATTGCAGCGGTCGCCCGTTACCAGGTGTTCTGTTGATTTGCCCTACCTTGTCAGATAGTCCTACCTCCCATCCAAATAGTAGGTAGTGCATTTTGATGATGCAGTATGCTACTGTAACCCCGCCGGTCCAACACCCCCCAACCCACACCGAGCTGGGATCGAACAAGTGATTCTTTGTATGGGAGTTGGTTACTCAAACAAGGAGACTAAAGACCATGGCCTCTGGCGTCTGTCACTAGAGCACCTTATGAGGTTAGAGGAGTGAGGTTTACCTACATAGCACTTCGCTACCTGGTCTCTGTTACACTTACCCCCCAAAACCCCACTCCCTTCCCGGAGTGGCCCCCATATGTAACTCAATGGTCCTACTGCACCCAACCCAGTCTGAGCTGGGATTGAACTGGCGATTTTTTGTATGGGAGTCAGTTGCTCTAACAATGAGGTTAAAGACCATGGACCCTAGCATCTGTCGCTAGAGCACTTTTTGAGGTCAGAGAAGTGAGGTTTACGTGCACAGCACTTCGCTGGCTGGCCTTTGCTACACTCACCTCCCTAAACCTTACTCCCATCTGGGTCATGGCACCAATATAACCACGCAGGTCCTACTGCACCCAACCCACTCTGAGCTGGGATTGAACCGGCGACCTTCCGCATGGGAGTCGGTTTTTCTAACAAGGAGGCTAAAGACCATGCCCTTTAGCGTCGGTCGCTAGAGCACCTTTTGACCTTTTAGACTACCATTTTTTTTTCCAATTTACACTCCAATTTCAGAGTGCAGTAATAGAAGCAGAAGTAGAAGCAGTAATATCGCCCTATCCTACCTAATCTCTAACCTCAATTTCAGAACTATTCAAATGCAGAGTTGGTAGCATAATCTGATGGGTTGGATAAAATGTCAGGGCACCAGTCCACAGTACAGTTACTAACACAGTTCTCAACTGTGTTATTCAGACAAACACACACCCCCAACCTGACTACCCTGGTCTCCTGGATTGTCAGAGACAACTGTTGGCAGGTATAGTGAGAGACCAGTGATGTCCTGTGAAAGACTAGCGATGTAAGAAATTAGTGATGATGATAGACTAGATAATGATGTCCTGTTATGGACTAGTGATGTCATAATCATAATAATGTATTATTTCGTGTCCCAGTAAGTAAAAGAAAGTTTGGATCAACATGAGCGTGAGTGTGAACTCTCCATTTTAGTTGTTTATAACATGACCAAGGCAGTGGAGGTTATTTACACATTCAACAGGATTTATTCACATCAGCAACAGTGTATTAAAGAAGAGCCATGCATAAAGAGCTAGGGCTACCTGTAGGTACATTATCATCCGAGGCTCCTGGAGTACCTTTAAAACTTCCTCTGGAGATCCTATAATCTGAAAAACAATTAACATGGTCTTAATCTGTATAGTCTAACAGTGATTTTAATCATTTGTTGTGCTGTACCGTACACCTTTAGATTATTTATTCATTCATTCCTTTTCCTTCAGCTTTTTCCTCATGTGCTGTAGGAGAATCGATTAACTAAATTAGCCTTAGTGTATGAGTGTTATTGTGAGTGAGTGTTCCCCAGTACTGGGTTTTAACTGAAAGGCCGTCCGCTGCATAAAACATATGCTGGATAGGTTGGCAGTTCATTCCGCTGTGGCGACCCCTGATTAATAAAGGGACTAAGCCGAAAAGAAAATGAATGAATGAATAATTGAATGAATGAATGAATGATTACTTAATTTTTCAATATTATACCACAAATCATTACAGCTAATTTAGGCTAATTTCTGTTTGTGCTGTTGCTTTCCCACCAGAAATGATGACTTCACTTCCTGGAAAATGATGCCATTGTTAGTTAGTGTGGAAAGATAGATAAAAGGATGGAAAGTTAGGAATGAAGGACACAGAAAAGGCTTAAAAAACAGTGATGCATGATGTATATGCATTTGGAAAATTATGATAAAGAACAACTAAATTAAAGCATGGTTACTGATAAAATACTAAATTAAAGGCTAGTCATAGGGGTAATATTCACCCAACAATGAAAATTTATTAATGCATGCTCACTCAAGTTATTCCAATCCAAGAGTTTATAAGAAGATATTTTGAAGAAATCTAAAATCCTGTAATCATTGACTTGCATACAATTTTTGTAAATTACATTTAACTGTATGAACTGTATTTTACTGTACAGTTATGCAGTACTGTATTTTAAGGTTTTATTTACAAAATTACTATATATTTTACAGTAAAGATATAGAATAGTGTACATATACTAAATTATGATATACTAAATGCTGCTGTAAATGTAAATTCTGTTCTTTGCCGTAATTGTAAGTTAATGGCAACTGTTGCCAGTAAGTTAGATTATACAGGAAACTGTTAACAGTGTAGAAAACAACAAATACTAATCAAGTCAATGGTTAAAGGTTTTCATATATTTCTTCAAAATATCTTCTTTGTGTTTAAAATAAAAACTCATGAAGGTGGGAAACAAGTAAAGGGTGAGTTGATGATAGCAGACTTATCTTTTTTGGCTGAATTATTCCTTTAATATTGCAATAATTGTGGTCATATATCAAAATCAGCTTAATGTTGAAGTATTTAAGAAATAATTTACTTTAATTCTCTAATAATGCTAATACGAGTACTAATAATTTAATGTTCATACTTCTTTCTTTGAATTCAGTTTTTTTCCTAGTTTTTGTGCGGCTTACCCACATACCTCTAGATGAAGACTCCATGATATTATCCAGTTCATTGCGCGTGTACTCATTCGACAGTTCTCTCCGTAGGGTCCGAACCCTATCTGGATCGGGCTCCACGCCGTTGCCTGTTTTGGACGAGTTTCTGCGAGCAGCGGCTGACATCCCGACGAGTCTCGTGCGGAGGAGCGAATGACTGCGCGCTGTCTATCACGCGCTTTTCGCTCTCACTGCAAATAAAAGCGCACAGGTGGCGGAACTGATTTTAACAGCGTACGCTACATTACTAGACAGTAGACTCCTGTTATCTTTCTTGACCGCGAACGTAAAGTCAGAGAACGTCCAGAATAATGTAGTCCTCCTGCGAGCAGACGCAGGTCCAGCAGCAACTCGAACAGCACTCCACTAGCAGGTGTGTGTGTGCGTGTGTGTGAATTTGGTATAAGTAAGCATTTTTTTTAAATGTGACCTTGGCACGCACACTTTTGAGCAAAAGTTAATAATCACATATTGAGTAAACACTGAGATTAAAAAAGCAAAACGCTGGTGGTCTGTATTTTGAGTGTAAACTCAGTAGGTGTGTCTCTGGATGAACTAAACAAACTCAGAGGAAGAGTGTCAGCATTTCCCCTTCCTCTCTGATTGGCTACAGTGAAGGAAAAATAAGCTTTTAAAACCATGTCTAATAATATTTTGAATGGGTATCAATCAATAGATACTGAAACAACACTGTGATTTCCTAAACAACAGCACAGATTCATTCATTCATTTTCCTTCGGCTTTGTCCCTTTGTTCATCAGGGGTTACCACAGCGGAATGAACCACCAACTTATCAACCACATGTTTTACACAGCAGATGCCCTTTCATCTGCATCCGAGAACTAGGAAACACCCATACACTACAGCCAATTTAGTTAATCAAATTTACCTATAGTGCATGTGTATCGCTCCCAAAGCAAAGATTGTGGGTTTAATTGTCAGTTAGCTAGCACGAATGATAGAACTATCCTAAATGGCTTAAGAGAAGTCTATAATCTTTCCTAATAAAATGATCTGTTATATTTAAATAAATATAAAACCCTCTAGTTGAAAAACGTACATCTAGGTCCTATATGTTTCTGTTTTGATCATTAATATGTCTAAAATTCATATGTGTGACATCAGACTTAACAAGCAAATTTGGATTGAAAGAAACGACCCAGCCTTTTTAGGATGGTGATATTTACATGGAGACATCCAGTCACATCTATCAGTAGTCACAGCTTTTACTTGTGTTCTCAAGAGTGCTGGTAAATTGCTGATACGGTCCTTGTAATCATGTAAGGCAAGTCGACTAAGTCTTCTTTAATGTTCTATTATATTATGGGAGCTTGATCTCTGCTCTGTTGATATTTGTTGTTAAAAATTTAACAAAGTGACTTTTATTGACATTTTAGTAGCTTGAAATAAAATATTAAGAAAAAATACAGAGAAATAAGTCTGTAAAATAGCAGAAAATGTACTGCAGTTTATTACAGTGTTTGTAGCATACTATACAACAGCAACCCAGACAATATAGCACTTTGAAATATTAAAAACTTTATTAAAAGTCACTTTTTCAAACTTTTCAAGGTTAAAAGTTAGAGGAAGAGATTAAGGTCCCAAAATGCAAATCAAAAGCATAAATAAATGGGGGAAAATAATAACCTAAATAAAAAACATTAATCACAAAATATAGAAAACTGCTAATGTACACTAACTGTTTAATATTTTTATAAAATTGCGGACTCTATTTAGGACAGGTTTTTTGTCATTTATGATGGGCCCTATCACAATTATTTGACTATACTGCAAAAAGTATTTGTTTTAAAAGGCAGTGGATAAAAAGAGGCTGAATTCCTAACTTCTCAGGAATAGTTTATGGACATATTTAGGCTATACAGTAGGTTAAAACCTTAAATATAAAACATTAAAAAAGGATAATTTACTCTCAATTTACATACCCTCATGCGGTTTCAAGACCTGTTGAACACAAGGGAGATATTCTGAAGAATGTGACAATCTGTAATCATGACTTGTCTATGAAATCTGTGGTTACTAATTATATCATTAGGAAAAATAAATACAATTGAAATCAGTGGTTACAGGTTTCCAGCTATCTTCTTTTGTGTTCAACAGAAAAAATAAGCTTTTAAACATCAATGACAGAATTCTCAGTTTTGTGTTTGAGCCAGGAATCTGGTTTCTTTCTGAACCAAGAGCGCCCTCTGGTGGAAGACTAACAGTCTGTCCAAAACTACAGTGTAGAACAATCTGTAAAATATCAGACGATGCTGACAGCCGAAATTCGATTAGCTTTTTTCTAATCTCAATAATTCGTTCAAATATTGAAGCTCAAATATGTATTCAATATATAAGTTCAGCTTCTGCGGTTTCTGTATGGCAAGCCAGTTTTATATTTAATGCCAGTTGCCGATTTAGTGATTTGGGAAGAGGGGTCTGGTTGCAGGCCTGACGCAATTGCAATCTGAATCTGAGCTGTATGCAATGCTTTTTAATGCGCCTTTTTTATTTATTACATTTTTTATTAACTCAATGCCACAAGAACGACAGGTATTACATTTTACATAGTTTCTGAAAAAGAAACACACACACACACACACACACACACACACACACACACACACACACATATATATATATATATATATATATATATATATATATATATATATATATATATATATATATATATATATATATATATATATAGTAAGTAAAGTAAGTAAAATTACATTTACATAAAATTAAATGTTTTCAGAGCATTACATGTGTTCAGTGCTTTTTTGTTTTGTGATTGTTCTAAAAGATTTACATTTACTTTAAAGTCATTCACAAAATGGGTAAAGTTGGGTTTAAATTATTGTGCCCACTTTTTCTTGGTATTTTCCTAACAGCATAAACAAATTAAAAATATATTGTCCTTTACAGTTCAAGTGCTCATTATCAGAATATAAAAGTATCAAATAAACCAATTTCTATTTTATACTCCATTTTTTTGTTAATAAACAATTCCAAAAATTCTTGAGTAAATACAATGGAAAAAAAAGGTGCAAAATTGTTTCTTTTTCTTGACCACAAAATTCACACATATATGAAATATTGAGTTTAAATCTTTTCAAAACATGTTTAGCAGGATAAATTTTATGGAGTATTTTCTACGACACTTTTTAAATTTTGTTATTTAAGCAAAACTTATTTGTCAACTTACAAGCTTTAAACCAAGAAATATTAGCAAATAATGAAAGCCAAAAGTGTCTTGCTGTAGGTAGAGCCAACGAACGGAGAGCATTCTTTAAAACCTTATTGTTGTTTTAATAAATAAATATTTTCAATGAAAATGTTTTCACAAGGATTATCAATGTTGATCTCTTATTGTTTTTTGAAAGCAAGACCACACCCTTTGGAATTGCATTCAAAAGAATAACGAATTCCCTCGGTTTAACTGGTGCTTTTTAATGCGCTCACTTCACCCTACCCCTCACAGTGACGTCACTAGCTATATTGAGTGCATTGCGTCTGACTTTGCATCTCTGAGATATGCAGTCTCAGCTTGCATTATAAAGGCTGCACCCAGACACTGTTGCCCCTAAGAAATTCCAGCCATGGGGCCCACAGTCCTAATATGCAACCTTTGTATTTTTATTTATTTATTTATTTTTTCTCTCTTTTATTTTCCTCAATTATTTGTTTCATTTATTAGTGTTTGTTTCTATTTTTTTTTCTTAAAATAAATGAATATTAATCAAAATTAAATTAATGTTGGTGTTTAAAACTAAATCTTTGTCTGATTTGACTGCTACAAATCTGGACAAATTAGCATGCACGTAAATAATTACATTAAAAAAAAATTGTATTTGTTAGACCCACGGCATACAAAATTGAATAGAAAACGATGCTGTATATTATTTTTAGGTTTAATTTTATACTTCTTGGTATATTTTGAGGGCCCTCAAATTTCCTGGGGCCCTAAGTGGCTATTTACTTTGCTTATTGGTTGAAACCCCCTTTTTCGTTTAGTGGTTGAAAATATTTGCTTCTAATGTTTTGGTAAAACCATACTTGAAGGTTCACTTCTCTAATGCTTTCTCTTTAGAATAGATAATACTGCTTTAGGATCATAGGTCCTAAGGATATTTTGCCATTTACTTCTAAGGTAATCTGTCATTGAGACATCAACTATTCAGTTTTCACTACTAAGATTCCAACTGTGGGCGTCATGGTGGTGCAGTGGATAGCACAATCGCTTCACAGCAAGAAGGTTGCTGGTTCGAGCCTTGGCTGGGTCAGTTGGTGTTTCTGTGTGGAGTTTGCATGTTCTCCTCTTGTTGGCGTGGGTGTCCTCCTGGTGCTCCGGTTTCCCCCACAAGTCCAAACTATAAGCCGAAAAGAAAATAAATGATGAACGAAATATATCATTTTTATGTAATTATTTATAGTTTTTTTTTTTTGTGTAAAAACTGGTAGCGATCATTAGGTCCTATTAATTGCTAACAGTCTATTTCATTACGTTTTATTAAATATGATTTTTTATAACCATTCACAAATTTTTAAACAGTATTATAAATATAATCAAACTATATAATAACTCATATTAAACACATATATTAAATGCAAGGGCTTTGTGTTTTCCTGAAATGTATTGTTAAATCAGTGTTTAATTTTCAAATACAAATGTTTCCCAAATGTAAATACTCTGATATGATAGTTGAAAAATTAATATAATATACATCTTAACTGCCTTTGTTGTATCTTTTTTTGACATAAAAACGTGGGTCAAGCCTGTAAACATGAAATCACTTATTGCATGCATACAGTACATTCCGCGAAAAGTGTTAAATTACTGCAAGTATGTTCTAGACCTGGAAGAGGAAAAATGGCAAAACTTTAATTAATTAACTCAAATTGACCCAGAAATGTTAAATGCTAAATATTGTTTGTGACTTATTGCTGACAAATAATTATTATTAATAAGTAAAATGTAGTAGTGGCAGAAGTAGTAATAATCCCTTAGACCCTTCCAGCTGCATCCATCACATATTATTATTATTATTATTATTATTATTATTATTATTATTATTATTATTATTATTATTATTATTATCATTATTAATGGTCACTGGTTCTTATTATATCATTACATATTTATTCATTAGATACTATTTCTTATTTATTGGAATCTAGAAAATGGCAAACATGTTAAATCTATTAGCAACAATAGAATAATTATCCCATCAAAATAACTACTTAATAGTTTCAATATTAAATATTGAAATATGGTTGATCTACTATTTAGTTAGCAAGATGCTATTATCTATATTGAAAATGTACTATTTCAATAGGCTATAAAAAGTGCTTTATCTCATAAATACATAATAACTAGAATGCAGTGTATAAAGGTGAGTAGACTAATAAGCACTGAAAATTTAATAAGTATTAGTACTTACTTACAATATTTTAGGATAGTGTCTAATCAGGTACTATTACATGTACTAGCCTACTACTAGACTGTTCATAGATTAAACGGCTTGCCATAGTAAA